AACAAAGATGTATTTTTTGTGTAATTATTTATTTTTTGTTGCTTTTTCTTAATGTTGCGTTTTTCTTTCTTACAAATAGAACACTAGACAGAATGACAAGCATCAACACAGCCAACATCAACTTTAAATGGGACCCAAAGAGTCTGGAGATTCGTACTCTGGCAGTGGAGAGGTTACTGGAGCCTCTTGTCACTCAGGTAATACAAAGTAGAGGATATGTTTTGTGTATACTTTAAGAAAAATTCAAGAAATRCAAGAATTCTATTGGAAATTTCTTGCATTTAATGTTAGATGAGCTTCTTGTTTGCTTTTTTCTGAAATAACAAAAAAATTAATTAATTGTAGCTGTTTAAACAATTTTCCCAGCATTTCCCTTTTAGTGTTTTCAGCAGATGAAATCTTAGTTTAAATTCTGAGCATTTGTCAAGCAAATCCAGTAATGTTAAAGTTTAAATAAGTAATTCCAGTATGTCAAATAAACCTTTYTAATTTTTTAATTGTATATTTTGTGTCCTTTCCTAGGTCACAACTTTRGTAAATTCCAGCAGCAAAGGGCCGTCTAACAAGAAGAAGGGACGCTCCAAGAAGGCTCATGTTCTGGCTGCTTCGGTGGAGACCGCCACCCAGAACTTCCTGGAAAAAGGAGAGAAGATTGCAAAGGAAAGTCAGTTCCTTAAAGATGAGCTGACTGCTGCAGTGGAAGATGTCCGCAAGCAAGGTACGCTGATAGATATGCAGCCACATTGTGAGGATTCTATCTTGTATAAAAGTGCTTCTCAAGATAGGATGGATGATAAATAAATCATAAGTTATATACATATCATCTTCGCCGGAAGAAGACCTTGAAATATTATGCTTTGAGCAAGATGAATTTCTTTCTGCTATGAGGTTTTCAAGGAGCCCATTTATAAGCTTTATTAAAGCATACAGATGGTTTGCCTTTGTCTCCAGGTAGACACTGCCTTTATTGCACTTTGTGTTGTCTCCTACAAGGACGATTGATGATAATGAACACATAGCAAAGTTACAACTTCAGTTGGTCCAAAGAATCTGCAAAATTGAGCTCTGAAGGTTTTTTTTTCAAACATGCATGTCAACATTRTGACTAGACACAATTTGTGTTAATGTCTGAAGTACAGTTCTCAACTGTTTTTAAGCAATGGCAGATCTTTGTGAGGCCTCTTACAAGAAGAACCATGCTGGTTTGGTTTACACAGGTTAAAAGAGGCCATCCTCTTTTKTCTGTTTGTCAGCATTATTAACAAACTGTGTTGATAATGATTGCAGTAGCAGAGACAATTTGCTTGCCCATCTGTTTAAAAGGTGTCCACTGAGTTGGGTCGTGGAGTCCAAACTCATTTAGTGGCARAAATGATGCACATGAGCTCTCCACCACTGTTTCTGCTTTTTAATTAAAATGCCTCCCCCTTTTTAAGCCTTTGCAGCAGAGATCAGATCAGAGCAGCGCAGGACATAAAGTGATAAAGAAAAATAGTTTCCAACMGTCTCTGATAGATTTATTTAAATGTTTGTATCCTCCTGTGTGGGGAGCGGGAGTCCGCCCACTCATCTTCCACTTTCAATTTAATTCCTTTAGTCTCACAAGTCTCGACAGGAGTCYACCTTCAGCTCACCAACCATTAAAAATAGGATTTGTTTTGTGATGCAGAGTTCCATCATTTAACAAGTACAATCATGTCTCACGTCTCCTCTTTTTGCTATTTGCTTTTTCTGACACTGAYCATTGACCAGGGAGCTCTAACTTGAGAGGTGGTTATCACCCTCTGAAGTGACATCTGCGCCATCGTGTCTTCTCTCTCCAGAACTCCTCTCCTCAGAGTTGTTGGGAGGTAGAAGCCATGTCGCTAGAAAGCATGTGCAGCTCTGTGTCCTGGAATGTTAGTGTAGTTGGGATGAGCTGTCACTGGCCTGGAATTCAGGGCCTGTTAGCTGGTGCTTTGGCCTGGCTGTCAACTGTGCCATGCTGCTCAGTGGAGCGTGCCTAGACTAATAATGTGACCATTGACGAGGGTAACGCCACCACCTTGGATTCAGAGAGCTTAAACCACCCAGCTGTGGCTCACCAGCTGTTTAAAGAGSAGGAAAAGTGGTTCATTGAAATTGGATTGGTTGATTAATACAATTCCTTTTGAAATAGCGTTTTCTCAAAGGGTTTTGAATTTTGACAAGTTGCTCCACAATGTTCCTTTTAATATTCCCTTAACACATTTTATTAAAACTAAATCACTAGTCAGCTGGCATCTCTTATCATCTTAGACGTTTTCTTTACTCAGCTGTTTCTGTCTGTTCCTGTCCTTGCTCTCCCCCACTCACCCTTCCCACCTGTCTCTTTGTTGTCCTTCACTTTGAGAGGCTTGTTGTGTGATATACATTTTAATCATTTCATCATGCACATGGTGGGCTGTAGATGAGCGTTGGATAGATGGAAGTTTATTAAAGGAGCACTGATCACTATCTCCCTCCCGAAAATGGCCTTATTGATTTTTTTTTTCTTTTTTCCACGGGGGGATAAGAGCCCGCAGGTGCTGTTTGAGGTCCGTGTTGTCGATCATCTGCACAAACCTCTTTAGTTCAAGCTGTCTGAGTAAAATAGGYGAATCTGCATGATATTGTAGTTCTGCTTTAGAGTTGTTAGTYGTTTTTATTTTTTCCTAACATGAATTACACTTGAGTGAATTGGAAGCAAAAATTTCATAATTATGCTTTAGTTAAATAAGTTGCACGATACTGTTATTTATAATCAAACTTTGACATTTAAATTCATCCCTGACTAGTTGGAACAATAKACTTTATTTGATAGACATTTGACTCAGCTGTAAAAACAAGACCATGAAATATTTTAGGCTGTTTTAATTTTTCATAAAAAAAAGTCTCACAAACGTTGCTGTACTGTTTGTCATTTACCAAAAAGGCATTACAGCGTAAACAAGTTGTTCCGGTGTAAGTTCTGTCTAGCTTGAACGTCAATTCCTCTTAATTTGAACCCTTTTGGATTTAATTTAAACCGGAGCACGTTGACAGAGAGAAGAATGCAAAACTGACTGAAAACGAGGAAGACCAAACGGATGAAGMGGCGAGTTGGACAGAAAAGCTGATGTTTGTGCTGCTGCTTGCAAATTCCAGTCCAAAGAGCGAGCTTATGCTGCATAAGCTCAGCTTTGTACCACAAGCTGTTCACAATAAGCGTTGGGATCCAAACATATTCTCACATATATTAGAATATTAAATTAAACATAAGTAATAAAGATTTAAAGTGGTCCCCGATTAGTTGTAACATTAGACTTTATATGATAAACATATACTTTAACTGTAAAATAAAGACTGTAAAAATAC